GGCATTTTCTTCCTATCCTGCTTTCTAGAGCGTGAAAGAGACAAGGGGACTGGGACAAGTTCCAGCATCATGAAGGCAGACAATGCAAGCTGCTGCTCCCGAGAGCAAAGCATTGTTAATAGACCAAAGCACGAGCTGACCGGTGTTCTTCTCTGGATTGAAGTTAGTTAGTAGGCCACAAAAAGGGGCCTGTTTTTTCCAAAAATTGTAAATTTGATCTCATTTGCTTGTCCTGATTCGCCAGTTGACCTGCATTGGCTAGCAGTACATAGTCACATTCAACTGGACTTGTTCTGTAATGTTGAAGTTGTTTCGTAGCTTCTCCAAGCCACTTCTTTCGTTTTAATGAGTGTCGGCCACATACACTAGCATTTCCATCCACACAATATTCCCCAGCATTTGTATCCACGTAGAGCAGACACCTTAATCCACTCACCATGGAATATGTCAAGGCTGATGTTGCCTGTCCAACAGGATGGGAGGAGTAAAAGTTGTGGAGCTACCCTGTTCTAGTTGCATAATCCCAGCCTCGGTTTCAAGAAGTCTGCATGGGTGTTAATCGTCTGATTCACATGGCTGAAGGTGTAAATTGTCAAAGAAAGATGGTATTGAAGGTATCAAAGACCCGTTCAGGGATGGTAGTTCCAGTTTGATGTAGATGACCTCTTTCATGCGTCTTGTGAACCAGTTGTCCTCTCCTGTCCAACTGTCCACCAAGAATGCCCCTTTTGTAGGAGCCCTGACATGTCGTTTGTTGTGGGGTTGTTTTGTCGCCACAATGTATAGGTCTTTCCATTCCTCACCACACTACAATAAATATACCAAGTGACTTGGCTTGTGTTTGGTCCTTTGGATGTAGATAAGAAGCTTGTGTCCCAGTGTATTGCTGGGCTTGGAGGACACAAGGATGGAATGTTTATTAAAGATCCTTCAGAGCTTTTCCGGCACTCCATCCATGACTATACGAATGACTATATCACTCGGTGTGTTCTGCTTCTCCCCCCTGGTCCTGTGTTTTTGCTTCACAGTACATACAATGAGAATCGCTAGATCTTCTGTTATTAGTAGCCAGTGTTATGAAAGACTGCCAGAAGTGTGGCACCCTTGCAAAGTCTTACTACCAGAAGTGTGGTACCCTTGCTAAGTCTTACCGCCAGAAGTGTGGCACCCTTGCTAAGTCTTACCGCCAGAAGTGTGGCACCCTTGCTAAGTCTTACCGCCAGAAGTGTGGTACCCTTGCAAAGTCTTACTACCAGAAGTGTGGTACCCTTGCTAAGTCTTACCGCCAGAAGTGTGGTACCCTTGCTAAGTCTTACCGCCAGAAGTGTGGCACCCTTGCTAAGTCTTACCGCCAGAAGTGTGGCACCCTTGCCAAGTCTTACTACCAGAAGTGTAGCACCCTTGCCAAGTCTTACTACCAGAAGTGTAGCACCCTTGCTAAGTCTTACTACCAGAAGTGTAGCACCCTTGCTAAGTCTTACTACCAGAAGTGAAACACCCTTGCTAAGTCTTACCACCAGAAGTGTGGTCCCCTTGCAAAGTCTTACTACCAGAAGTGTGGTACCCTTGCTAAGTCTTACCGCCAGAAGTGTGGTACCCTTGCTAAGTCTTACTACCAGAAGTGTGGTACCCTTGCTAAGTCTTACTGCCAGAAGTGTGGCACCCTTGCTAAGTCTTACCTCCAGTAGTGAAGCTTGTACCAAGTTTTTGCTTGAGTTTGCGGATGAGTGCAGTTGACCTGTATTATTTGTGGGCATTCTAAGAGCGGTGCCAGGGTAAGGGGTGCTAAATAGACATGTGCTATTCGTTTCATTCCCAATCAAAATTCGGACGAATTTTCCATAATTCGGACATTCGGACACATCCAAATTTCCGAATCCCAATGCATTCGAATACGTCTGAATCCAAATTTCCGTTACCGAATTTCAAACAAAAACTAAACTGAATGTGAGAAGTAACTTTTCTGGCCAATCAGATGTGTTTTTTGGCTTAATGCATCCGAATCGGTCTGAATACGAATTTTCGTTACGGCAACATTGGAGCCATCTGATTGCCCAGAAAAGTCACATGTCGTAACAAAAATTTGTGTTCAGTATATACATACACTGTAATACCAAAGCTGAGGCTCCTCCTAGACCCAAATGGCATTCGGGATACGAATTTCCGAATTGTATTGGGGAGCTCCTGAATGCCAATCGGGTCTGGGAGCCTCAGCTTTAGTAATATATGTATATGGCTAGCACACCCAAATGGCTTTCCGGAGCTACCGAATGCAATTCAGAAATTCGGATCCTGAAAGCCATTCGGGTCTGGGAGCTATATTACTAAAGCTGAGGCTCCCGGACCCGAATGGCATTCAGGAGATCCCCAATGCAATGCGTAAATTCGGATCCCGAATGCCATTTGGGTCTAGGAGGAGCCTCAGCTTTAGTATTAATATCTGTAAATGGTTTTCGGTGGTATTCGCAACGAATATTCGTAAACTCATCCGAAACTAGCGAAAATTCGGATTGAATTTCGGATCCAAATCTCGTAATAACGAAATAGCAGAACTGAACCGAACCGAACCAAATTTTTCTGCAGCTTACAAGTCTAGTGCTAAATACCTCATTTAGGCTAGAGCTACAAGGGAGAATTTTGGTAGCCCAAGCCATGGTGTGTAAATGACTAGGAGTAGTGACGGATCAATAAACATATGGAGTGAGCTACACAAGCAGCATGCAGGAGGGATCAATTGCACACAATTGACGCATTAAAAAAGGATCTGTAAACCCGAACTATAATCTCCTCTTATTTGCTCCCTTTTTGTCTGTTGAATATGCCATTGAAAGTGTTTTGTTATATATTGTTCAATAAGTGACTCAAATACCCATTGATCCTGCCAGACATCTTGTGAGCAGATAACTTCCTGTTCTCTCTGCCTGTGCTGACTGGTATCAGGTACATTCTTCCCAGCTATCTCTGAGGACTACAGAAACACTTCCACCCATGTTACGGAGAAGAGGGGAAGGAGGGGTTTTCTGAAGTTCATTCCAAACGTGACAATGCTGCTCCATAGATACAGTGAGTGAGCGTTGTCACCCTGGGACAGGAAGTGTGTTACTGGCAGAATCAGCGATAAAAAAAAGCCTGACAGACGAAAACTAATGCAGCCACCACATCTAAGGGCTGGTCATTCGCAATATATGACACTGTGACTTGATCATCCAAAATATGGCAACTGATGTGATTCATAAAAGTAAAATAAACTAATAATAAATAGATTCATGGGAAAAAAAATCCCAATTTAGGAAACTGTGACTGTATCAGATGAGCAAACATCCTCAATATTGTCATTCAGCCAGGGTGGAAATTTTCAGCTGGTCCCTGCAGTTGAATGCGGTGCCACTCGTACGCGGTTCCATACGGGGAACGCTGTGGCGCGATAGACAACCTTTGACCTCTTCAAGGTGGCAAAATTGGGCCACTGCAAGAACGCTTTCCCCAGTCTGAGAACATTTAACATGGAGCTCCTTCTAAAGGCACATCCACAGACAGGAAGTGACTCAATACATGGGCTGCCCACTCCTCATGACTAAGGTCTGTCCACTTAAAGGAGTCATTTTGTCCCAATCTCCTGGAAACCCAGAATCCAGCTAAAAATACCTTTCCTCCTCCAGTAATAAAATGATTTTCAAAGCCTCAAGATTGCAAAACAGCTCGGCCCATATCAAGGTTGCACTGGACACAGGTGTAGTTTGCCCCTGGCCATGTTCGGCAGTAGAGTATCACCGGCGTATCGTATGATCAAAGTAGCGCCACTTACTTATCACAGATAACCATAAGCAGCTTTTCGGAGGCTCACATCGGCTCCTTCATCAGGCAGACAGTGACACGGATGAGTGATCAGCTGATGAGGCTCCGAAATGTCGCTTCAGTGTATTTTAGACAACTATATGGCTCTATGCTGGTGATACTCTACTACCAAAAATAGAGGTGCCCTCCACTTGTTCATCACTACAGATCTCAGTTCTTGTGGACTGCGGAACCATTTGGAGGGACCATGTCATGTTCTCCTCTACACCTTGCCCTTGGCTATGGACACGCACACCCTATCAATGCGGGTCACAATGGGCGCCATGGCCTCGCTGTCCGTGCGCATTAAAGGCTCATTTCTCCCTATAGAATGAGAGACGTGTCCGAGGGAAGCTGAACATAAGGGGCATGTTAATAAGAAATTGATTCTGACATTCACCAAATATTCTCTGCAGGTAAATCTTCCAGGTCCATGTGTTTTAAATGACAGTGATTGGTGAAAGTCACTAAAGATCTATATAGAGGATTTAGGACCTCCTTCCTCCTGCTGGGGATCCCTCTAGTGATAACTAAAGATCTATATAGAGGAATCAGGACCTCCTTCCTCCTGCTGGGGATCCCTCTAGTGATAATAAAGATCTATATAGAGGAATTCAGGACCTCCTTCATCCTGCTTTATAAAAATGCCCCTTATGTTGGGTTCATACTTTTTGCATATGGTGTGTGTTGGGGTGCTGTACTGTGGTGCCATTCATTCTTAACGACACCCCAATGCACCTTACCAATACACGTGCATTCAAGTGCACCACAAGGCAGGGGCGGGCTCTGACATCATTTTCCGTTGTATTCCTTTGTGTATATATATATATGAGCATATTTGCTAAACACCTTTGTCACTATATCACCCTGATGAGGGGACCCTGCGTGGCCCCCGAAACGTTGGTTTTTGCACGTGACGCACTTTTTAAAATAAATACAAACAAGAATTTTTATCAAGCGCTGAAGCCCGTCTACGCACTTCGAGTACACGCTGCAAAACTGTGAACTCAGCCTTAAAGATTTTGAAATCTTTCTCAAATTGCAGATTTCCATTGTGCCCCCAAGTGCGGAGATTTGCATTACTTAGGTTGCAAAAGCTGCCAAATTGTAACGCCGCCTCCGAAATGCGTGATTTCCGGGCAGCAAGGATGTAAAATGCGTCTTACCTTTCCAGCAGAAGCCAGCATGCATGCCCCTCTTCCCTCTCCCTGTGCTCACTTTCCAGTCTGCGTGAAGAATGAATGTGGCTGAGCGAGCAAGAGGTGTGTCCCAGCCACCCAGAACCTCCACCCCCACCTCCTTAACCCTGTCACAGCCTCCTTAGGGTTAGTCAGAGCCAGACGCCACAGCTAAGAACCAGCGCGGGCTGTCTTCACACAGTTCCTGCAAATACCAAACAAACTCAACAAACAACAATCAGAGGTCTGAAATGCTGCCGTTAGAAACATAGAAGAGTGACGGCAGAGAAAGACCAAGTGCCCAATCCAGGCGGCCCCTTTCTAACTTTTTCCCTGAGTATAGATCTATGTTTGTTCCTGTGGATGACTCCCTACGTCTGCTAGTCTATCCCAAACATCAATCACTCTTTATTTAAAATAATAATTTCTAAGGTCAGTTTTGAACTTTCATCCTGCTGGTTTGAGGTCATGTCCCCGGGGTCTTCATCTTAACTTCATATTCTGACCTCCTGAACCTCATTCACACCCTTCATGTTTTTAATGGTTTCATCATGTCCTCCCTTTCCCTTCTTTCCTCCAGACTGGACATATTAAGTTCCTGCAGTCTTTCCTGATATGTTTTATCCCTCAGAACGTTCCCCATTTTTGTTGTCCATCTCTGGGCTTGTTTTATCTGATCAATATCTATTTGTAAGTAAGGTCACCAGAACTGGACATGATACCGAGGAATCAGGACCTCCTTCCTCCTGCTGGGGATCCCTCTAGTGATAATCAAGATCTATATAGAGGACTCAGGACCTCCTTCCTCCTGCTGGGGACCCCTCTAGTGATAATCAAGATCTATATAGAGGACTCAGGACCTCCTTCCTCCTGCTGGGGACCCCTCTAGTGATAATCAAGATCTATATAGAGGACTCAGGACCTCCTTCCTCCTGCTGGGGACCCCTCTAGTGATAATCAAGATCTATATAGAGGACTCAGGACCTCCTTCCTCCTGCTGGGGACCCCTCTAGTGATAATCAAGATCTATATAGAGGACTCAGGACCTCCTTCCTCCTGCTGGGGACCCCTCTAGTGATAATCAAGATCTATATAGAGGACTCAGGACCTCCTTCCTCCTGCTGGGGACCCCTCTAGTGATAATCAAGATCTATATAGAGGACTCAGGACCTCCTTCCTCCTGCTGGGGACCCCTCTAGTGATAATCAAGATCTATATAGAGAAATCAGGTCCTCCTGCTGGAGATCCCTCTAGTGATAACTAAAGATCTCTTTAGAGGAATCAGGACCTCCTTCCTCCTGCTGGGAATTCCTTTAGTGATAATAAAGATCTATATACAGGAATCAGGACCTCCTTCCTCCTGCTGGGGATTCCTTTAGTGATAATAAAGATCTATATAGAGGAATCAGGACCTCCTTCCTCCGGCTGGAGATCCCTCTAGAGATAACTGAAGATCTCCATATTGGAATCAGGACCTCCTTCCTCCTGCTGGAGATCCCTCTAGAGCAGTGATGGCGAACCTTGGCACTCCAGCTGTTTTGGAACTACAAGTCCCATGAGGCATTGCAAGGCTCTGACAGCCAAAGACATAACTCCCAGAGGCAGATGCATCTTGGGATTTGTAGTTTTGGCACAGCTGGAGTGCCAAGGTTCGCCACCACTGCTCTAGAGATAACTGAAGATCTCCATATTGGAATCAGGACCTCTTTGAATTCCTCTTGCTCCTAGATACGGCATTACACAATCTGTACATCTGTGAGCAAAAAAAAAAGAGTGTTTAGGAACAATTTTCTAAAGAGGGAAGAGCTTCAGACTGCAGTCTTGGGCTGATTAAAGGGTAGCTGAGGCACCAAAAATAACTATATCACTTGAAAAATTAAAGTGGACCTGTCAGTAACTTTACGAGTGAATATATTCCTGAACTGTCACAATATACAGCAATTTTTAACAAAAGCTTCATCACTAAAAAGCTGTCCTTGAGCTCCAATCAGTGACTTTGCCTAGGGTGAGATAATGTTCTCAGTCTATTGTAGGCAGGAGGAAGCATTTGCTCAATCTCCTGTCCCGATAATTACTTAGACTGTACATTGTAGCGCTGTAGAAAGTCATTAAAGGCAAAGTAACAGGTTCACTTTAGAGTCTGCTCTGTTTGTTGTATATATTGCGCTCCCAGTCTGGGTTGGAGTTTACAGAGGGCTAAGGATTATTCCCACATGACAGGTTGAAGACCAAAGACAAACCTGTAGCATGTCCTTTGTCTCACTACAGCAATAGAGTTACAATTCTCCCCTGCTAACATGAATAGGTTAAACCATGATCCATAGTATATAACATGTAGTTGTACTATGGATCATTTAAAGTCACCTGTCCCTTTAAGAAAAAGTATCGGTAATTGGTATCGGCAAGTACATGAGGGGAAGTACTTGTACTTGGGCCTGAAAAAGTGGCATCGGGACATCCCTATCTCCAACCATACCTCCAGGATGTCCTTAGTCTCCAACCATACCTCCAGGATGCCCTTAGTCTCCAACCATAATGTAGGATGTCCTTAGTCTCCAGCCAAACCTGCAACATCTCCTTAGTCTACAACAAAACATAAAGCAGGTCCTTCTCCAGCCAAACCTGCAGCATGTCCTTAGTTTCCATCCAAACCTGTAGGATGTCCTTAGTCTCCAACCAAACCTGCAGCATATCCTTAGTCTCCAACCAAACCTGCAGCATATCCTTAGTCTCCAACCAAACCTGCAGAATATCCTCAGTCTCCAACCATACCTGTAGGATATCCTTAGTCTGCAACCAAACCTGCAGCATGTCCATAGTCTCCAGCAAAACCTGCAGCACATCCTTAGTCTCCAACCAAACCTGCAGCATGTCCTTAGTCTCCAGCCAAACCTGCAACATATTCCTGCAGAGTCTTTCTTGCACGGTCATCTGTGATTTTATAAAGAACAGAACGTTGGCATATAAGCACCTAATATCGACTTGTAATTATTAATAAAGCATGTAATAATTATTGATCTTTATCATCCGTCTCCCCTCCTGGATCACATGACTGGCCAAACAATTCACTTCAACTGCAAGTTTTTCTGCTGACCTGGTGGCCGGCATTTGAGGAAGAATCTTGGTAAGGAGAAGTATGAAATACACGTTGTTCCTGATTCTCCGAATCCTTATTCTTGAACTTCCTGCAAAGTCAGCAAAACAATTTCCTAGAGAGACAAGTTCCTGGCCCTTTATCTCCTCTCCCACACATGCTGCTGATGGTTGGTTGTGTAAGTGTGCGGACGCCTATTTCCGGAGAGTCGTTTTCTCGGCACGTTTTCCTGTCTTCATAGGCCATACATGCAGCAAACTCTCATACAATACTGATTCCCGTGAGACTTTACTGACCTGTCCGGATGAGTGGAGGGCTTGCTGACAAATATATTTCCCTGTGAAATCATTGGTAGAATCTCGCCGTCGCCGTATCACTCACTGAGCTGCTTGTAAAAATGATCTACTGTTTTATCTTTATGCAGAGCCGTGTTTTCATTGGACGTCAACTGCTGCCCCCAACATCAACAAAATGATGGCCAGAGATTAGGGACATGCTACAGTATGTGCTGGAGACTAAGTATATTCCACAGGTTTGGCTGGACACTAAGGACATGCTATAGGTTTGGCTGGAGACTAAGGACATGCTACAGGTTTGGCTGGAAACTAAGGACATGCTATAGGTTTGGTTGGAGACTAAGGACATGCTATAGGTTTGGTTGGAGACTAAGGACATGCTATAGGTTTGGTTGGAGACTAAGGACATGCTATAGGTTTGGTTGGAGACTAAGGACATGCTATAGGTTTGGTTGGAGACTAAGGACATGCTATAGGTTTGGTTGGAGACTAAGGACATGCTATAGGTTTGGTTGAAGACTAAGGACATGCTATAGGTTTGGCTGGAGACTAAGGACATGCTCTAGGTTTGGCTGGAGACTAAGGAACTACTTCAGGTTTGGCTAAAGACTAAGGACCTACTGCAAGTTTGGCTGGAGACTAAGGACCTACTGCAGTTTTGACTGAAGAATAAGGACCTGCTGCAGGTTTGACTGAAGACTAAGGACATGCTACAGGTTTTGCAGGAGACTAAGGACATGCTGTAGGTTCAGTTGAAGACTAAGGACATGCTACAGGTTTCGGTTGAAGACTAAGGAGACGCTGCAGGTTTGGCTGGAGACTAAGGACATGCTATAGGTTTGGTTGGAGACTAAGGACATGCTATAGGTTTGGTTGGAAACTAAGGACATGCTGCAGGTTTGGTTGGAGACTAAGGACATGCTACAGGTTTGGTTGGAGACTAAGGACATGCTACAGGTTTGGTTGGAGACTAAGGACATGCTCCAGCCTTGCAAAGAACTGATTGATCCAGAGTGAGAACATCATTTTCTTTGCAGTTTCTTCCTCTTTGACACAACTACACAGCTCTGACTTCCTCAACATGACATCACAGCTCTGAATTCTTCGACATGACAACATCTAAGGACATGCTACAGGTTTTGCAGGAGACTAAGGACATGCTGTAGGTTCAGTTGAAGACTAAGGACATGCTACAGGTTTCGGTTGAAGACTAAGGAGACGCTGCAGGTTTGGCTGGAGACTAAGGACATGCTATAGGTTTGGTTGGAGACTAAGGACATGCTATAGGTTTGGTTGGAAACTAAGGACATGCTGCAGGTTTGGTTGGAGACTAAGGACATGCTACAGGTTTGGTTGGAGACTAAGGACATGCTACAGGTTTGGTTGGAGACTAAGGACATGCTCCAGCCTTGCAAAGAACTGATTGATCCAGAGTGAGAACATCATTTTCTTTGCAGTTTCTTCCTCTTTGACACAACTACACAGCTCTGACTTCCTCAACATGACATCACAGCTCTGAATTCTTCGACATGACAACACAGCTCTGAATTCTTCGACATGACAACACAGCTCTGAATTCCAAACTGTGTTGTCCTATCAAAGAGGAAGAAACCAGAAA